GAAGCAGACCACAGCTCCCAGTTTAATGAAATAGGAACTATGAATGTATAAAATGAAGTAATGAAAATGCAGCAGTGAAGCTTCACAGGATCCTTTAACAGGTGACTTACTGCAAGGCAATGCCTTCACACAGCACTGCTCTACCCACTTTGCCACCATTCCTCATGCCTGGCTGCAACCCTGGCTCAGCCCTGCTGCCTAAAAGCTAGAAAAACCCCTGCCTTTCAGCATGCCCAGGTGCTTTTGCTTCTCCTCCCTGTTAGTGATGTAATTCTTCTTTTCCCAGAATATAAATACTATGTACCTCAAGTCAGATTCAAAGGAGGACTGAAGAAATTTGTTTAGCTTCCCAAATGAGAGAAGTTCTCAACAACAGATTCATTGCTTGTGGCAGTTCCCAGTCTCTGAGGTGATGTGAACTTCAAAACACCAATGATACCGTAATGATTTCAGTATGCAGTTTGAGCTGGAACTGTTGGAGGAATTAATGCTGTTTCAAATTTTCAGGTATTTTTTACTCTTAAAGGAAAGAACCATTTTGGAAACTATTCTGGAGAATTTTTCTAAAATTAACTTGCTTTAACAGATATCTGCTCCAGCTTTGTCTAGGACTACCAAGGCTATTCTATTCCCAGAGTAAGAATAATTATTCATATATAAAAATAAAATCTGTGTTTTCTATTGGACAGAAGCCACTGCTTTCAGGAAACATTCCCATTGTCAAGCTCATTCAGTGGGATAATCAAATCAAATATTTCTTAAATATAACAAATAAATCAACATAGAAACATTCTTTCCTTAGCTCTGTTTAGTGTTTCACACATTAAAATCTCAAGAAAAAGGTTCTCCTTGGAGAAGCTTTCAATTTTCTCCCAAGCAATCTGAAAGGAACTGCTCCATTTTGTTTAGTCATTCGGTATCCAGTACTCCAGCAACAGTGAGCCCAACTGACTCAACAGTTGGACCACTGCTGGTGACCTGAAGTCCAGTTTTATGGTAGTGCGCTGCCACAAGCACTACTCTGCACTCACTACTCATTAGGTCTCACCACTAGCCATCTAATTGCTACAGAGCAATCTCCCCAGGCTTCTTCAAGATTACTTCAGAAAGCTCTTGTTTTCTGGTGCACCAGAAAAAAAAGCCCCCAGAAACTTAGAATCCTTGGAAATGTTCTCAAAATTAAATTATTTTCTTTCTGGTCCTGCCCAGCATGGTTCCAGAGAAGCCTCTGCCCTTGCAGAACATTAATATATTCTCAGGTTATTCTCATTCCAAGCCAGTCAGTCTCCTAATGCTTTTGATGCTTTAGTGGACTGCATGTCAAGTAGAGGACGTTATCCCAGCAGCTGTACAGTGATTATCTGGGTGACCACAGTTATTTCTGAATGAATGTACTGGTAAAACGCCAAAAGTTTTCATAGAGATTACTGTTGTGTTTGCAAAATTCCTAGGTTTTCTGGTGACTCCTAGGGCTGTATACATATATTAGCAAAACACGCCAACGTTTAGTAACGGGTAAAGGTTCAGTATGTCACACACTGCCAAATCACACCCTGAAAAACACAGAGAACCTATTTTTCAATTCTGCTCTTTTCTGGCTCTCTCCGCTGTGGCTGATGCTCTCCATATCTGCCTTAATACAGCATTTCTTAAACTTTTCTTTTTCAGATACTAAAAAGAATGTAGACCATAGCTTTTTAGAACTTGCTTTTAACTTTTAATGATAGTGTCATATGTGCTTTACATTAACAGACCTGTACATCTATATTTCCTATGTTCTGAACATTGGGAAGTTAATAAACTTTAAATTCACTACAGAATGTTGAATAGACTGTGAGGATTTTGAATAAGAATGAAAATCTGATGAAAATTAAAAATATTTACTCTTTAAATGTCTGTCACATACATGACATTAACTCACTTCTAAAACTCACTCATGTCTTCTTTGTTTCATTTTTTTAATTATTCCTATGAGGTCAGAAAGAAACCTGACCTCATATATGATAATATAGAAAAAAATGTTGCTGTCTGTTAGTAAACAGTTTCATAAAACTAAATTATTATAACAGTGAAAAGTGACTTTAAATTGGTGTCATCTTCAAGAAGTTTTTTTTATTAATCTTGCCTTTTCCATGGTGAACAAACAGTTGTCATCAAATGATAGCTCATAAAAATATTTACAATTTTATTTCAGCTACATTTTTCTGGACAAAGATATAACTGGGTTTATAAACATTTTCAGAAGAATTAAGACATCTTGTATATAGGGAGGACCAACTCATATTTTAACTGAACTTCTAAAAAATTATTATAAAAAGTAGGTTTCTACCACTAGAGTGCTGCTAAAAGCAATAGAAACACAGCCAGATGACTCCCTACTTTGAGCAATTTTTAAGTTGCCAACCCATAGCCAGAAAGTTTTATGAAATTATGAATTTGGGTCCAAACACAATAAAAGTCAGATAATCTACTCTTCAGAAGCTATAATTATTTTAATGAGAGATGGAGGAATGTTCTGGCTTTCACTTCTCTGATTCTACTAATACATGACTGTAATTCATTAATTCAGGGTCAGACAATGAGCCTCTGAGCAATTATTCACATGAGTGGTCTCACAGAATTCAGTGTCTTCATTTAATGTGCCATTAAAATGGTATACGGGTGCATCTAGCTAAAGCAAACATTAATTCACTACAAGACACAACAAATAGCAGTGCAAAGTACCTTACTTCAGCCACTCTCTGTTGAGAAAACATCTTCATGAGTTTGGCTTGTTGAAGAAAAGATTTTGCAGAAAAAGCACCCAAACCTTGTACCACATTTTGAAAGAGAAGGGAGTCAGATTTTGTCAGATTTTTTTTTTTTTTTTTTTTCACTTGGGCAAATCCAAGACAATGGCAAGGAGGGAAAAATAACTGGAGAAGTGTAAAGAGAATGCAAACACTGAATCAGCCAGGTACACAACCAGCTCAGTTTCACTTCTAATTTCAGTCTCACTATGTTGATGGTAACCGCCACAGCCAGGCACCTTGTGCAGAAGTAGCTAAGAGGTATTATGAGTCTTTGTTTGAGTACAGCACAAACCCAGTTCCTCTTCTCTCTCATTCCTCATAATGTTTCCTTATCCAACGCTGTTGTACATACACATTTTTAACTCAGATAAAGAAAATGTCATTACACTTAGTGTGATAATGAAAAACTGGATCTTAAAAGCATATTTTCTACTGCCTCTCTATCTTTCTTTATAGCACTAATTATGATCAAAATTTTACAGGCAGGTTTAGGATGTTGCCTGAAAGATGCCATAAAACTGTGAGTTATGACCTAAATGCCAAACATCACCTCCTTATGCTCATTTCTTTCATATATATTTGAGTACGTATTGCCAAAAGAGAAGACAGAAGAGGCAAAGACACTTCTTGATTGCTTCCACACTGGTGCAGTTCGCACGACTTTTTGAAGGCTGGCTTTAGTTTGCATAGTATTGCACAGAGAGATTTGGAAATACACACCCTGGCTTACCTAACAGCCTGGTGATATCCTCAGCACAAACAAAAATATAAATATCTGGCCCACAGGCATTGCAAGAGGGTCAAATCTTTGCAAATAAGATACCAGCTAGGCCTAAAAGTCATTGCATATTTCCTTGCTTGTCAAGAGTAGGGTATTCAATACTTTTCAGAAAGATATGTCCTTCACGGCTGAAGATAAAGGCTAATGAGGCTGGAATTAGCATAGATTAACATCATCCAGTTTTAAAGGGTGTTGAGGGAGTATGACTGCAATCCAAAACCCAGAATTCATGCCTCTCATCACTATCCCACAGTAGCCCACCTGGAAGGATCCTCCCCTGCCTCATGTTAATTTGAGCCAAAATATTAATTCACTCCCCAGGGACCATTTCTTTGCTATGTTCTGTACTGAGATACATATAAATCAGTCTGACTGTATTAGTTCTGTAAGTGGCATACAAATGCCAGGCATTCATGGAATTATTAATTGCCATTAATGCTGAACTGTTTAGTGGGCAACACAGAGGTGTAGAGATCTTATCTCCTAAGGTATTTTGGTAGCCAGTGATGTTCTGTAGTCAGAAAAAGATGTTCCTCCAGAGGGTGATTAAGTGCAAGCATCTGACTCTGTATTCTGAAATTAATTTTGTAGACTCTCAAAGCCTTTGAAAATCCTGCCTTCACCAGAGTGAAGTTTCCCTATCAGTAACCATTTTAAGACCCTGAGTACAAAATCTGCGGAAAAATGGTTCCGATGATAAATTAGGATTGAGAGGACAAAAAACATCCCTTTTATAAAGGTCATTTTTGTGATTTTCACAAACAATAAGCTCTGTGTGTTCAGTCCAGAAAAGGTCCATTCTTCCTCTGCAAATGTGTAACATATATGGAAATGTAAGTAATCTTTGTAATAATTCTGTAATGTCTTTTTGTAAGGACAGAGGATTAACAATGTGTTATATTTATTGCTAGAAAGCATTTAATCTGAAAAGTTACATTTCTCTTCTTAGTCCCTGAAATTGTTCACCTAAGTGCAATTTGCCTTTATGAAATCAACAAATAGAGCCACCCTTGCTTCAGCATAGGGCACTGGAAAAACTACTGTACTGTAAGACCTATTACATGGGGAAGCTTTGATTTTTTTTTTAGATAAGGTAGAAAGATGTTTAAGCAAGACTTTAAACAACCTTCTAGGGTTCGGAGACTTCTCTTACCCATAGTCCTGCATGGGAATTAGTACTTCCAATGGGTTATGCACCACACCTGATGCTGTGCTAGAAACCCAAATGCTAATCAGACCACTTAAAACAGTTGTGTCCCACCACAATTGAACCCTTTCCTGTAATATTTCTTGAAGACAAGCAACCGTAGAGAAAGGAGAAAAGTCCACTGACAGTACTGCTTTATCTTCTGAATTGTATCATGTGCTTAAATCACTCAATGCAATCCTTTCATAAATAGCAAGATGAAACTCCGCTGAATACTTACAGTTCTTTGCATTAGTAGAGGAGTTTCAGAACAACCTATCCCTTCATCATTAAAACTTGATTCCATATTGATTATGTCTTCAATTACCTCTTCCATCTGATAAAATAAAATTTTTAAGACTAATCATTACAAATAATAATGGAAAAATGTTACTTTGAAAATACAGAAGAATTATTCTTGATTATTTATTACATCAGAAAAACTGAATTTCAGTAGTTTATATCTTAAAATTCAAATATTTGAGGTACTTTTACACAATATTCATATTTTCTGCTTCTTGTGGAAACAGTTCTTGTGGCTTAGCAAATCACTTCTTTCCTCCCAAACACCAGCCCATTCCCCCTTTTTAAGCCTTTATTACAACGCCAAGATCAGATGACAAGGAGGGCATTCCTAAGTTGTAGCTGTGATCTGTCACCTTCATCAAATGTGTCAAACCCACAGGGTTTGTTGCACTGGTGCAGGAAGGCTGAAAGGAACCTGTGGTTCTGCAACAGCATGAGTCACTCAAGATGTGGCATTACACACCTCTCTCAAGATTCAGGAGGCAGAGGTTTGTGTTGAAGGGGGTTTTAGAGATGCTAGGGAGGGACTCTTCATTAGGGACTGTAATGATAGGACAAGGGGTAAGGGGTTAAAATTTAAACAGGGGAAGTTTAGATTGGATATAAGGAGGAAATTCTTTCCTGTAAGGGTGGTGAGGCACTGGAATGGGTTGCCCAGGGATGTTGTGAATGCTCCATCCCTGGTAGTGTTCAAGAAGACCAGGTTGGATGGAGCCTTGGGTGATATGATTTAGTGTGAGGTGTCCCTGCCCATGTCAGGGGGGTTGGAACTTGATGATCTTAAGGTCCTTTCCAACCCTAACTATTCTATGATTCTATGATTTGGCAATACACTGGATACTTCTCCAGAGAGCCTTCTGGTCCCACTTGTGTTCTAAGTTGAAAGAAAAACTACTGAAGCAGATGGAACAGGTGGGATGAAACAGTGAATGATTTGCAGACGTATATAGATTTGGACAAGGTACAGCATGAGTTCTCAGTGATAATTTTAGTCTGGTTCCATTCACAAAATAACTTTGGGAAAGAGCCCTCAATGAATGTGTCACTGTTAACTCTACCGTGTGCAGGAGCAGTTGGCTTGTGCTCTGAGGCTTTTCAAGAGGGTCCTATGCAATGAAAGACTTTTCAACACAGGCTCTTATGCCACGTGGCCCAGCACAGCTTATACGTGCACTCCTCTCCCTTTCTAAATACAAGACGCGCTGTCCTAGCAATTGTGCCCAGACTTACCCAGCAGAGTGTTGTCAGGACCAAAAAGATGCCAAGAAATTCCCAGCAATTAGACAATGTGAATGACTACAGTTCACTGCACTAACCTGTGTGTTGGCTCTACGTTATTTACTAATATAACTATAGCCTATGCTGAGCCAGAGGGCACATCTGCCCTAGGAAATTACACCGTGTCAGTTATTTCCTGAGGCTCTGGGATGGGATTATTCAAATCATTGGTAAAATGCCTGTGAGGATTTTGGTCAGTGCCAACTACAACTCTCCCAGTTGTCACCAGGCATAGTTCAGGAGGATGGTTTACAAGCAGCCATCTTGCTCTCCAGGTGATAGAATGGTACAAGGGCAAGCACCAGCTATTCCTGGCATGATTCCCAAAATCAGCCTGAGAATGGTTCCAGCACGCTGCACAGAGCTGATCACAGAGGCCTACACAAAGGCCATCTATTATAATAATCTGTGCAGACTAGTGGCATCAGTAATCCATAAACCTGACATAAAATGTCAGTTGTCAATGCAGAAGGAATGGAGGGGCCCCAGATGAGCTCTCCAGGAAGTATCAGGATTATTTTTTCCAGTTCCCTCATGCTTAGCTGCATTACATCCAAATGTTCAAATGAGTCACAGTGTATTTGTAAGATTTTTCTGTTCTGTTAAAGCCCAAGGTGTGATACAGCATAACCATTTCTCATTTCTATAGGAATTCCCCTTTTACCTAATAAGCAGTGTCTTTTGAAATCTATTGAAGTATTAAAGGCCATAATGATCTACATCTCACACTGGCTGAGAATCTGACATCTTATAATAGCTCTATCTCTATTAAAATCAATGGTGGTACTAAAGTTAGCATATCTATGTCAAGTTAACCAAGATAACCCATATATAAATGTATCAGCTAACTGAAAAATGAATGAGTGATTCTTTCAGTTACATCTTTAAGGTAATTAGCATTTAACTTTGTTATGCAGCTAGGATAATGATTTCAGACAGAAATAACTCTCATTTTAAAAAAAAAAAAGAAAAGTTTTGCATTGCAAAGTGCATATTCAAAAAATGTACAGCAATATATGACACGTAGATAAAAAGATGCAATAGTACATTTTAACTGGCAGAAATTCAGAAGCCTGATCATGTAAAAAGCTATTAACAGGGATTCAAGGGAATCATTCATGTAATCCAAAAGGATTAAGGGAACATGTGCTGCAACCAAAGGCCTTATGAAAGTAAAGAAAGTCAGCCCCATCCCTGGCAGTGTTCAAGACCAGGCTGGATGGGGCTTTGAGCAACCTGGTGTAGTGAAAAGTGTCCCTGCCCATGATAGGAGGGGTGGAAGTCGGTGGTCTTTAAGGTTGCTCCCAACCCAAACCATTTCATGATTCCACGATCATTTGCTCACTGACAATGCAAGGTGGTTATGTAATGTTTTTGTAGCAGAACCCAAAACCCATTTCCCCATTCCTTTCAGCAGCTCTGCCCTACCACATTTTCATGTTCTCCGCCAAGGGCCAGCAGCTTGGTAACAGGGCTTTCTGGTGTGCCAGTGTCGCTGATGGGAGGCATGTGTCCGTTTCTTAAAATGGAGCTCGCTCCCACAGGCTGGATTGTGTGGGAGTGTGACAGGGAGAGCGTCTGGCTGGACAGCTTGGTATCGAGGGTCAGGTACTGCTTCACCTGGTGCCTCTGGCTTTGCTGTATGTGGTACCTAGACTGATTTTCCAAGTGTGTTTGTACCTGGGAAGGAATGGAAATAATTGCTGAAGTTTCAAGTTACTAGTGCCAGTATTTGCATGTATGATTGCTTAAACATCAAAACAATAGATTCAGCTTTAATAACACTTGAATTATTATTAACCTTTAATCTTTATTTTTCAGGTTTACACCTTACACATTTCTTATATGTGGGTTGTTTACCCCTAACACAGCTGAACAAACCTTCTGAATAATTATCACAGAAAAATAGAATTAGAAAAGATAAACAATCCTGAGGAAAGACCAGAATTATGATACAAATTTTTCTCTCCTTGTTAAAGTATGATCTCTGTTAAAATTACTGATCATTATAATCAATCTACAGGCATATATGTACTCAAATATTAATATCACAGTTTAGTAACTCTTTTTTACTTCAAAGAGTAAACAAAGGCATAAAGAAAAGCATAATCCAACCAATTTAAGTAATAGCAGCACCAGCAGACATTCACTCATACCTAAATCCACACTTGGCTCACCTTGTAATAAGTACAGTCAGTCAAATGAGGCATTGCTGTACTTTTGGAATAAATCCCCAAACAATAAAATAAAGAGTCCAAGCTATAGCCTTGGATGACTGTTCACTATTATCAAACCGCAAAGTCTTCTTGAAGTGCCTCTTGAGGACAGATCACTTTTTGAGTTGGTAGGACTTTATAAACTGAGTGGTCATGCCAAAATGGCTAATTGAGTACTACTTTCGGCTATCTTTTGAATACAGAGATTGACAGTTGCTACTTCAAACAGCTCCCGTTTCAGATCAATGTTACATTCCTGCAATTTAACTACCAGAGGAGCACTGCATACACAAACCTTACTGTCATTTCAGCCCTGTGGCTTTCTCCTCTTCCTGTGGCATGACTGGTCACAAATTTCTCATAATAAATTTTTCTCAAGTGGCCTCTGTGTAAGCATGCTTAATATTAGTTAAATACTAGCAAGACTCGTTTTGCAGACCTTTTTTCTCAAAAAAAAAAAAACAGTCATTTATACAAACTTCTTTTTAATTCCCCTAACATACATAAGCAGAGACAAATAGCCCATAAAAGGGGCTTGCATTTAAATTAGCTATATTTTTTTACAATATTGCAATATCTACTTTATTTTTAATCATGTTATGGTGGCATGTCTAGGATTATTTTAATTATGTTTCTTTAAACTAATTTTCTAGTCATACAAAAAAGATTAAGTCATGCAGTAATGAATATAATATTAATTACTTTGATGTAAGCCTTAAAGTTATTAAATAATAGTCCATCAAAATATTGATATAAAAATCTTAAATATACTGTTTAGATTTTCCAATATTATGTTAGAAAGATGTGCATCCTATGTAAGGTTTTAAAAACTACATGTCCATTTAGGATTTACTTAAATCATGATATTACTTGTTTTAATTGAGATCTTTGTGTTAGTTTTAGAAAGTGATTAATGTACTGCTAATTTAAGCCTTGATTTATCATGTGTAAAGATATATGTAAAATTGTCCCAAATCATTCATATATCTATTTACTCCTTCAGACTTAAGCTTATATTCAATGTTAGAAACTCAAGCAGTTTCTTTAATTAGAATTTAAACATAAAATCTACTGCATGCCAGTTTAACCAGACTCTTGATATTGGGCATAATGCAATGTGCTGAGGGAAAGAAAATATGTCCCATTTTATGGCCAGAGGAGGGCTTTGCCATGCACCCTTGTTTTCTGCTGCTGTTTCAGAAGCACTCTCTGCTTGTGCTGTCCTTCAGGGTTACTGAACGAACCCACACAAAGTGAACTGTTGTCTTAGAAACTTTATATGCCTACCTGAAGCATGCAATCCAGAAAATCATGTCTTCAAATTAAATGGGAAACATGAGAAATCTGCTGTGTCCAAAGTCTATACAACCTTGGTTTAAAATTTTGTTTTAATGAATTTTAGTAAGGAAGTGGGTTCTGCCACAGAATGTTGCTGAAAAGTCAGTGGTTTGCTTCCTGCTTTCTCTGCACTTCAGATTGCTAGTGGCAGATGGAAATCTCTGTGCAGCCTGATTTTCTAGTAAACCACTGAAAGACCATCCCACCAGGCAAAGGGAGGATCTGTGAAAGATAATCAGCTAACTGCTGTCTAAGTTAAAAATCAACTTGATCAGGAGTGCTACCTTTCAATGATATTCTTTAAGTGCTTATATCCTGTCAGTACTGTCCTGAATCTCCACAAACAGGAAAAGAATCTCGTACTTTACTGATGGGATCTGTTGCTATGATTTTACAAACCTTTCCACCCCTTTACTGTGCCAATTGCAGTCATTACAAAACAGAACCACTGATGTTATCTATGGCCTGATTTTCAAAAAGTACCTAAATTGCAATCCCTGATCCTTTTTATATATCTAAATAAGTCTTAGAAGTCAATCCTAATAATAAATAAAGCACTTTTGAAAGTCAAACCACTTTGTAAAGACGAAGCAGAACTGGAATCCTTTTTTTATAATCATCCTGAGAGTGTACAATAAATGGGGGCAGGGAAAAACTTGGTATGCTAAAGGAATACTAAGATTGCAAGTCAAACTCTCAAAAATTAGAAATTACTGTTAAAACTGTTCATGTAACATGTGAAATAGTAGCAGAAATTAATTAATTAATTAATTAAAGACTTAGTAATTCTATGTAGCAGTGTTAAATACCAAGCACAATCTGTTTAGCTTCCACTTGAATGCTGGATTACTTCTATTATCTTCTCCCAGTAGTATCGAACTAAGTTTCAGTTTAGGTTTTCAGAAAATTTTAGGTGAAATAAATTCCTATAAATAACTATTGCCATAGTTACAAACATTAAATATTGACTTGATTTTCAGTTTCTTTTTAATGGTATAAAAAGAGTGGATAGACACTGGCACAGGTTGCCTAGAGATTGTGGAACCTCCATTTCAAAACTTGACTGAACAAGGCCCTGAGCATCTGGGGAAGGAAAAGAAATCTAGAAATAGCCAGGAGGAGAAATTAAAAGCATCCTTATTTTGCCCAGTAATCCCAGTTTGGTATCCTCCAGCAGGGTTTGGAGACTAATTTTCTAAATCCTTGTCTTTTGAGTACTTCTCATAATCTGTAAGAAAATTTTGTTACAGGCTATGTAAAATTCTAAGATGAAGGCCTCTGTAACTCTCCAATTGAGTCCTCCTATATATAAAATAATTAAATCTTCTTTGGACCAAGAACCTGCAATGTTGATGATGACGCACCTTTTACTGCAACAACAGTCTGAATATAGAGTTACCTTCTGTTTTTTTCCCCTCTCTGAGGGCCAATGAATTAAACACATTTAATCGTGTGTTTAAAGCACAACAGCTGTAAAGGAAGACCCTGACATAGTTTTCAGGGTAGAGCATCCAAGAATCAGGAGCCTCTGTGGAACCTGGGTTCTCATCTCTGACTCAGATTGAGCTGTGTGATTTGACAAAGCATATCTCCCATTCTCAGCAGACTTCTTTCTACTAAATATCTCCATGGCTTTCTTTTTGTTTGTTGGTTTGGTTTTGGTGTTTTTTCTGGGGGAGAAGAGGGTCGTGAGATGGATGACCTTGCTTGTTGACGTGCCCAATTTCTGGGAAATGGGCACCCAGTGACCACCTGACAATCCAGATGCTGACTCAGCCCAGGACTTAGTGTTGCCCTACTAGCCCATTGCTCTAGCTCTCAGTATAGTCACTGACCTGACCTCTCCTGCCACGTGCTCCTGAAGTTATACAGGCTCTTTTGATAGTTGCGTGTTTAGGGTGTACCAAGGTGACAAATTTGCACAGATTAAAGGCTGGTTCTCCTCCCAGGCATTCTTTTGCAGTGGCTGTGGTCCCGTACTTTAAATGTTAATTATTTCAGATTGAGGAGTGAATGAGAGTATAAAGTTCAACTGTAAATACAATATCCATTCCCTTCTAGCACTGCTTTTGTCTATTATCTGGCTTTCTTAATAATGGTGAAATTAAAGCCTATTCAGAACCAGAAGCATCAAGTATGCAGGGAGCCAAATGTTTCCAGCCCAAACTCAAACATTATAATTCCACCAGAACAAAGCTAGAATAAAAACTAATCTGTCCTTTGAGATGGATTTTGTAATCCCAAAGTATCCCAATGCACATGTAACTGACTGTACCTTTTTCTATTTTATAACTCACTGACAAGCCAGTTGTACAAACAAGAACAGCCTTTCAGATTACAGATGCATACTCAAACTTCTTCAATTGCTTTTTCTAATTTGAGCACACATCATCATGTTGCAAAACTGCGGTAGAGTTGTGTAACATCTTTTCCCACATTCACACTCATTTTACTTTCATTTCTAATATATTGCACAATGGCATAACAAGTCCTTTAGTAGTTTATTTATATAAACTCTTTTACTTCCACATTTGCTGATGAGATTTATATATTATTTTTTCCATTAGTAGGAGAACACCTAGCATTCCAGAAGTATGAAAGAAGGCATACTTAGGGGAGGCATGAACAATGTCAATGATATTCCAGTAAGTAGCAGTGTTACATCTTGTATTGGTATTACACTGAGGGCAAGTAGGTGATACCTGTACCCCCAAGCTGCTTAGAGGAGCATCAGCGTTGGCAGAAATAATTGGAAAACTAAAAAGATATTTAATTAATTAATTATTAAGAGGTAGGAATATAATTAATGCCAGTCAACATAGTTCTGTGCAAAATAAGCCTTGTCAAACAAATCTACTTCTGCTCTTTGATGAGATTTCAAGTTAGGTTGCCAAAGGTAACGATCTAGGTATAATAGATTCCACGTTTGCATGCCTTTTGACTTAGTATCATTCAATATTCTAATTAAAAATATAGCACTACACAATATCAACAAAGCGTGTTTTAACTGGCTTAAGAATTGGCTAACGAACATGCATAATAAAGTAGTCAGCAAAGGCTCAGCATCAAAAAGAGGGGCTCTTCAGTTTTGTACTACTAAATATTTCCATCAGTGATTTGGGACTA